AAAAAAAAAAAAAGCCCCAATCATATTCCAAATTACAAGTACCTCATCCACATATGTTTTTATTCCTACAAACTGCAACCAATATGAGAAGGGACACGGTTATGAAAGAAATAAAAACCTTAACAGTGTGTTTTTTGGTTTTTCAAAAACCTTAATGGTCGACGAATAATCTTAAAAGGAATCATGATACAATAATCAATATGAATGTTTTTTTTCCCTAGCCCTAAACGAGGCATTGAAGAACGAAGTACAGTGGCTCAAGATTGCGGCTGGTCAAGCTCCCGGTGGTCCTAATGGAAACGTGGGCTCAACTTCTCAATTCTCTCCATCAGCTAATTTCTTTTCGAACCAACATCAACAGCAGCAGTTTCAAATGTCAAATTCCAGCCCAAATAACCCTAGGCCTAGTGGGCAGGCGCGGAATAGTTCTCAGGATTTTAATCGGAGGTCTTAACACAATTTATGTTACCATCTTTGTAGAAACAAGTTATACCCCAGTAGGCTACTGTATATAGGGGGGGAAATATATATACACATTGCAATATGAGGATGTGATGATGTCTGTTTATTTGGCATGTTATTGACCTGAATATGTTTATCTACATTAGGGTGTAAAGATTATGTGATATGGCCTATATTTATATGCTACTTTAGATTTTGTGATATATATATAGGAATATATTGGAAGAGTTTTCATGGCACAGTCTTAACAAATGCCACTTTAAATTAGTGCACAGTCTAATATATGCTAATGAAAATTTTCATAACATTCTAATATGTATAGATTAAAACCACTTCCCTGTAATTTAAGCACATAAATTGCCAGCAGAAATCATCAAATCCATGGACCAAAACAATAAAGAGGCAGATTCAAATCAAATCTAGGTGATCAATCAAACAGTCAAACAGACACTGCACAACACAGTCTAAGAACTTACTATGATCACCATCCACATAATATAGCTAACTTACCAACTACTAATACTATTAAATAGAAAAAA